TGCTTTATCTGAGTAGAGATGGTCAGAACAGTTGTATACTCAAATATCCTCTGGCCGCATGTACATCTTCCAAACGTGCAACTATCAATAGCTGACTCAGCATTTACAATAGATACTGGGTAAAGTACAGGCAAAGATGACTGTCACAGTGATATGAAAACATGTTAGGACCAAACACTGGAAATCATATTGTTACAGTGAATGCAATTATTGAAATGAAAACTTTGAACAGCAATGACTAATCTGGAGTGCCTTCTAGAGAAACCTTTAAGGAACTTCATTTCAGAAAGTGGAACATCCTTGGCCTTGAAATACTGTCAGGCAAAATGTTTCATTTGGGACACAGAAATACCTATACATTTTCTCAAGATCACTGGTCTACACCTCTTGCATAAGTTCATTAATTTTAAGTTCTGTCTATTTACATCAGGTGAAACCTACCTGAACCTATGTATCTACATATTCAGGAAACTGAAAATAAAGGGAAATTTACATTGTAGAAGTTGACAGTGTCTGTGCCATATATCTAATAAAATAAATCACAGGGTCATATGGGGTTGGAAGGGACCTCTGGAGATCATCTAGTCCAAACACCCTGCCAAAGCAGGTCCACCTAGAGCAGGTTGCACAAGGACTTTTCCAGGCCGGTTTTGAATGTCTCCAGAGATAGAGACTCCACCAACTCCCTGGGCAGCCTATTCCAGTGCTCTGCTACTCTCAAAGTAAAGAAGTTCCTCATCATGTTTAGGTGGAACTTCTTATATTCAAGTTTGTGCCCATTTCCTCTTGTCCTATCCCTGGGCATCACTGAAAAAAGACCTGCCCCATCCTGCTGATACCCATGCTTTAAGTATTTAAAAGCATTGATCAGATCCCCCCTCAGCCTTCTCTTCTCTAGACTAAAAAGATCCGTCCTCCAGCCTTTCGAATTCTGTAAATTGTACCATACATCTAATAAAATAGATGGCATTGTTTAAAAATCTACGCGTACTGCAGAAAACACATTATCAATAACACAGAGTGTGTGACTGCTTACATTTCATTTTGTCACAAAGTCCCATGCTTCAATGTCTTGCTTCAGTATCTTTTTAGAAAGCAGTATGTAAAAAGTGTTCCATATCTCATCTGTGGGATGAGAGCAAAAACACCACTCTAACCTATTTTTGGACTCAGCTTTTTTTTCCTAAGGGTGGGATTTGTTTTGATTTTTCTCCCTTTTCTTTGATATTTACATAACTAGAAAATGACACTTGAGATATACATGGTCCCTCAGGAGTTTCTGAAATCACTAGGACTGCTGGTATGTGTATATTTTTGACTTTGTGGTAATGAGTATGCTCAGAGAATCAATGCTACAACTTTTAAAAGTGGAGCAAATTTGTTTCAGCAAGAGCAGACTTATTCTCAGAGCTTCGCACAAGCTATTTATAAATTATTCTTTTGGTAAGATACTCATCCGTCATAATTTTATTGGCCATAAAGTAGATTCCCATCAGGTGTCCAGTCTAAGGCTGGTGAGGCTTATGTTAGGACTCAGTGGTACCTTTGATTAAGGTAGGTAGCAGCACTTAATAGTCTATTTTGTGGCTTTGGAGCAGCAACAAAATACCTCAGTAAATGCCTTGCAGACACCCCCGTGATTTCCCCCAGCTGGTTGGAATTTGCATGGTATGAGAGATCCTCATGGCTAACAGGTGATGAAGGCTCATCAGAACCATCCCAGTTCTCATATAGCAGAAGGACTGGAGTCCTAATGGGTGCTGCCAGGAGCTTCCCAGTGTTTATGGGACAGTCATGCCTTGGCCCTGCATCAGGTCAGCATCAGAGCATACAGCACAAAACCCCAAGGGCTTCTAGACTCAGCCACAATGTGCCCATTGCAAGAGCAAGGTCCTCATTTGTAGCTGAGCTCAGGCATGTCCCCTGTTGGTATCACAACAGCAAGCAGAGCAATCATCAATATATAGTGGCAGCTGAAGTGAAAGATTACAGTGCAAGGCATGAAGTCTTGCCTCAGTCCTCTTGCTAACAGGCCAGCAAGAAAAATAAAGCTCTTGTGATTTATACTTGCGGAGTAATCTCCACAGTAATGTGAAATATGATAGTTCAAATGGGTAAGAACAATGACAGCTGTTACCATTTTTGACAGGCAATGGGTTTGGAGCTGGGTGATGAATTGCACACTGTCTGGGGTTTGTTCAGCCCACTTATCTTCAGGGTGTCATTTTGTTTTTTGGGTTTTTTTTTGGTTTTGTTTTTTCTTTTAAAGGAAAACATCTTTTAAGTCCTTTGGTTTGATGTCGGAGACTTAACAGTTTCTGTTTGGTAAAGAATTTTGCTTTCTTGTGATCTTTTCTTGGAAAATGGCTCTGCACAGATTCCTAAGAAAAAGTTTTGAATGTTTATCCTGCTTTGATAAGGTAGAATAAAGTTCTCTCTTTTATCTTTAATTTTATTTTAACTGGATCTGCAACAAAGATACCTAATTATATGAGGAATTTTAATTTTGACACATTTCAAGCTAAAAGATCACTAAAACATATAAATATGTCTGAATCTCAGACTTGCAGTTACATTTAGTGAAGGGTAAACCATATTTTATGTAAGATAACACCAGACCCTGAGATATGAAAGATGTGGAATTATACCCTAATCCCTTGACCTAGCTCTGTGAAATTTGTGGTGAAGTGTTTTTCAGAAGAAAGCTGGAAATTCCAGGCTTTTCAAGAAGGAGGGTGGCTGTCAGAGCTTTGTTTGTTCCCCTTCAGTAACAAATACTCTCAAGCCCAGGTGTAGGTCTCTCTGGGAATGGGGCAAGGTAAAATTTGTACAGGGTGAAGCAATAACCAGAGCACGGCTGGGAAAACCCCTTTTGGAAGGAGGGCTGTGCTTACCCAGTTGCAACAGATGAGCTCAAGGAGAAAAAGCAGCAGCTGGTGTTAACAACCGAGATCCTATGATATGGCTGAAAGTGGAAAGCAAAGTCTCAAATTGGCAGAAGATCGTGTGATTTTAATTATGTCTGCATAGTCCTCAATGCAGTCATAATGCACTTTTAGTTTTGCAGATGCTTTTCTAGAGCTAAACTGCTCCACTAGACCAAACCTGCTTCTTTCTCCCACCTTTGTCACAACACCACTGAAAATCAGCATAAAAGGATCTTGCTGGACTTAAGTTTTGCTCCCTTTTAAACCAGGGACGTTGCTTCTTTGCTACTCATTTCCATGGGAACCAGAGGCAAGCTTAAAGTCCTTACGATTTCCTCCGCTTCTAATTTCACTGGCGTCAAGTTCTGACCAGTTAATCAAATGTCTTTTGTGTTGCAGGTGCCTTAATGTTTATTTTGATTAGTGTACCAGTTGCTATTTTTAGCCCTTTGGTCTTTGGGTTGAATGAATACCAGCACAGACCTTAAAGCATAATAAACATGTGTTTTTAACCTTGCCATTTATTTTTATGTCTCTGTATCCAAATAATCAGGATGTGGTTACCTGTGAAGGTAATAGACTGCTACTTCAAATTTCAATGCACACCCACATACAAAAATATACATTGTAAAGGGTTACAGCTTTAAAAACACCCAGACAGACCCTTGTCTGACTTTAATGGCTGTTGCCATCGGAATGAGAGACAGTGGTACCACCTGGCTTACTGCTTTGTCTTTGTCCTTTGATTCCAGTGCACTATGTCTGCTTCACCCCTGCAGAATAACCAGCAGCTTTATTCCTCACTGTTGATCCCCCATGGACAACATAAGAAAAAAAAAAAAGAAGATATAGTGGGGTAACAAAATAACAGAAGGACATGTAAAACGTATTGAAAAAGCCAAGCAAGAAACAGACTTTCAAGAAACAACACAACCAATGTCATATCTTTACTTTTTAAAACTGGACTCCAAACACTTTTCTTCTTTGTAGTGTGGGAAAAAATACAAAGCCAAGTGTTTTTTAGTATGTATTTTCTGCCTGATCTAATGGGAAATTTTCTATGCAGAGGATAAAACAACGATCATACATCACAGAAATGTATTTAATGTATTTATACATCCGTTCTGTTTCTGCTTTTGCTAAGCAGAGAGTCAGCAAAGAATGGCACAATCAGGTTTGAATTATACTCTGGGGCAGGACCTAGAGACAGAGTAATCAGCAAATTAGCAGATACTTTTGGTACTAGAGGCCCCTGTCTAGTTCTTATTAACATCGGCTGAAATATTCCCACCTGGGTGAGCTGGAAGCCTGTCAGGTGTTAAGAGCTACATCCAGATGAGGGCTTAAACAATGCAGCCTAAACCCGTGGCCAAAGAAACCCCTGCAGTGAGCAGCTTCCTGATCCTGAGCCTCCCAAAACATGCCTCCCTGTGTTACTTAAAGGCTCTGTAGGTATCTGCAATTCTACAGCTGTGGCACGTGGTCAAACACCACCAGTCCAAGCAATGGATTCCTCTGTCAGCTTTTCCTAGGTGTGGGAGCTGGATAACTTTATTCCAGGATCTCAAGAAAATCCCAGAAGTTGTGACTACCATCATGTTGGGAACTGGTGAAATGTAACCTTGCTTTCAAAATGTTGCTGGGGAGGTATGTGATCTCTGTAATAGCTTTATGCACCTGTCCAGCATGAGAGGAGGTCAGGGTCAACCTGGGTGGCTACAAGCCAAAGTCTCTGAGTTTACAAATGAGTGTCTAGTTCATCTGGTTTTAATGCAAGTTTGCATTTATTATTCCTGCCACTGCAGGGACTGGGCCATTGTGCAGAAAGGAAGGAAAAGATTTGCAAGGCTGTAAAGGAGCAGAGGAGGGAGCTTATTCTGCACCCGGAGGTGAAGGGCACTCAGCTGGCACTATCTGGGGTTTAGGCAGTGGCTCTGTAAGATAAAACAGATTAACAGCCACAGGAACAGAATCTCCTGTTGCTTTCACATCTTAAAGAACTTTGGAGTGAGGTTCCTCTGTGAACTTGGCAATGCATCTGTGAAGCCATTAATAGTTTTTTCTTCTTTGCAGATGCTGCAGTTCCAGCTTGTTGTGGTGCATTTGGCCCTTGTGATTACCCTGCTGCGGTGGCACTCTAGTTCAGTGCTCCTCGCAGAGGCAGTGCCAGAGGTAGGTGAATGTTTCTGGAGGTTGTCACATAACCCTTTTCTTCCTTCAGTTGTTCTTGGCCACAGAGTGTGGAAGAGACCATGGTCTTCAAACTGTGTTGGAAGGTGAACGGTTAGTATTGACTCTGCCATGGCAAAGCAGGACAACTTCCACAGTGAAGAGGGTGATGCAAATTGCATATCTGTGGGAGGACAGACAGAAGGAAGTCTCACTCACGTTCATGCAACCTCTTCTGAAGCACCATGTGGTTTTCTGTGTGTTAAAACATTGTCCAGAGACTTTGGATAGAGAGCTTCCTGAAGAGGAGAAGGAGGTGATGGAAGGGGGGGAAGTAAACTCCTCTAACACTGAAGGGAAGGTTTCATTCTTCTTCTTAATGACAAATAATAGCATGAGAAGTCTGCAGCTTTCAGAAGCCACGAGAAGATCCCTGAAAGAAGACCATCTTCACAAAAGTTACAAAGTAAAGGAACCAGAAGAGACCAAGACAGGGAAGGAGCAAAGTAACTTGCCTAAGCTTGCAAAGGAAAGCAGCAGATGAAATGGGAGAACTGTCTCACATTTCATCCAGTACGATATGCAGAGGTTGCACCTGAAAATACTTTTACTGCATTTTCTTTTTGCATTTCATCTTGACATAAAACAGATCTGGCAGAAAAGGTATTTATGTAACGGTTTCATGCCATAAAAATATCAAGGATCTAAAAGTTTTATCAAAGTAGCACTGTTTGGCTGTAGGGTCTTTACATAGGTTTTTAAGGCAGGCTTACAAGTTAGATGCATACTGAAGAATACTGATAGATCCTTCTGCCTTGCTCTCTGTCTTCAAGTGAGCATGCCATGATTATACAAAATAATATTTGCTATAGAAAATAGGGCTTGGGGGAACCACTCCCCACATTAGTGCTGCAGCAGCTGCTGTTCTGATGCCACAGGGATCTGGTCTCCTGCCTCTGTCAATAACAGGTTTTTGTGAAAAGAATGTAAGAACAGAACATCTTCAGAGACTTCCTGATCCAGAGATGTGCACTGGACCAGGGCATGTTGTAGTTACTGATGGGCTTAAATTTGTCTTTGAAACGGTCTAAAATCTTGGTATGCATGACATCCTTTGGCAATGCTTTCCACTACATCTATCTGCTGTATTTAAATGAAGCTCCTTATATTTATTTTAAATCCACCATCTGGTGACTTCACTGGGTGTACTGGGGAGCTCTCTTTCTTGAGGAAAAAGTTACTAGTCTTTATTCACCTCTTTGTTGTTTGTAACTTTATAAACCCTTCACTGTACCCAGTGTACCCTATCCTCATCTCTTCGCTTATCTGTGAAGTTCACGGTTCACCATAGGAAAACTGTTGTCTACTTCTGATTATCATTTTGCCTGTCTCTTTACAATTCTATTATATCATTTTTAAGACAAAGTAAGTGGGATGGCACAAAGGACTCAAGAGCAGAGGTTATTTTTTACCTTTTAGTTTCAAATGTTACTGTAGATATTTATCCCCACTAACCAGAGAGGAGAGTTCGACCTTTTTTAAAGGCATAATTTTGTTGCAAAACTCTCTGAAAGTTTTATAAACCTGAAAGGGAACAGAAAGGATTACTCAGTGCACTTGAAGCTCATAAAAAATAAAGTCAGAGGACAATATGAGATCCTGTACGAAAGAATTAACAGTGCTACATCATTTGTGTGATCATTGTGTCCATATGCTCCTCCTTACCTAAGGATCACAGTTTTATACACTCCATCACCAGTTATGCCACCCAGGAGTAGTGGGAACTGTTTTCACCACAGCTATGGTGTGGACCCCAGTAGATACAGGCATATTACATCATCTATGTGATGGCTTTCTTTACATTTGTACTAAAGCCACTGTGTCTGAATAAGAAAAGGTAGTTGTGTCCTTCTAAAGGTAGAGGAAAACCTGCTTCAAGGCATGTAATAGAAGTTTTGGTTAGAAGTTATTATTTATTTCTATGAAGATTAAGTGGAGCAAGTCAGCAAGCATTTCATCTGAAGAGAGAATGATTTGAGCTTGACACTCGCTTTCATAGACTAGCTGCTGCCCTATATTTTTCTGTTATTTTCAGAGCAAATGTTTCACTTTGATTTGTTTCATTTGTCTCTTGATAGACCCCAGTATTCTCAGCTATTATGGATAGTGAAGTATAGTTTGGCTTTGAAAAGGTGCTAAGCCTAATGCCTTAGCGCAGGTTCAAAATTCTGTGGCAAGTCAACATACTGTTCTGTTCTTTCCTTTCCTCCTCCCCACATAGTGTTACTGCATAAATTCTTTAAATGTCAGTGCTGAGCAAGTTTATCTTGGGATATTTTTGCATAACAATTCATTAATTTGTCAGCTTTGTATGGAAAGTTCTGTCTATGTTTTGATTACTATTTATTAGCATTCATTTAAGAAATGAAAGTCAGTTTTCTGAAAAATATCAGGATGGATATTGGAGTCTGGTAATGGTGACTGCATTTTTTGAAAGGATTACATTACATGCTATAACTGATACTAATCACACTGCTGAGATAGGGATAGTGGGCTGGCCTACAAATACAGCTTTTGTGAAGTAATAAATGTTCGTAATTCTTGCAATAATAATGAAGACGAGTTCAATTCTATTAAAAAAAAAAAAAATCCCAACCTTTTATGGCAAACTCCTGTGGGTAGAAAATGGCCATGTTTCATAGAAAGAACTTCATTTTAAAGCATTGGCCCAGATTTAGTATCCTAGTGATTATGTATTTATGGGACTGCTTCTGTGACACTGGTTCAAATGGTTTTTCTGGAACTTAAGCAGCAAGCAAATGCCCCTGCTTTCTTTTGCAGCCTTTGGAGCCTTCTGCTGCTCTGGGCATGGGAGCAAATCCCACTGCCAGTGAAGAGAAGTCAGCCACCAACCTGGCAGCCAAACTGTTCCTTCTTGATGAGCTGGTGTCTTTGGAGAATGACGTGACCGAGACCAAAAAGAAAAGAAGCTTCCCGGGATTTGGCTCCCCAATCGACAGGATTTCTTCAACCTCTGTGGATGCTAAAGCCAAACAGAGGTAAATTCTTAGATACTTCTACCAGTGATAAAGTTGGAAGAAGGCTGTTGGTAGATGTCCTGGATACAGATGGGTTAGCTTTAGCCAGCAGCAGGTTTACTGTTGTACTGAGATGCCTCTGATGAGGGTACTAGAATCTCTACAGAAACCATTCTGGTTGCATGATGTGTAATCCTTCAGCTCTGATGAATAATACATGTACTAGTTCATTTATCCCCAAAGTGCCGTACAGCTGACAAAGAACATTCAAACAGATGCATTTTTTTTTTAGTACATTTCTTTCCAGTGATGCGAACTAAGTTTAAAACTGACTTTTTGATAGTAAGATTTTTTTCAAGCAAAAATATGCCTGAGGTTCAAAAGCAGAGGGGCAGGGCTAGGTGTTCCTGAGGCTGGTGTGAAGAGCAGGTGTGGTGTGCACGTCGTGAAAATGGGCAGACAGTTATTAGAATGGGCTTCAAGACCTTGATCAACTTACGAGCAGCCAGGGTTTAATCAATACAACAGTACAGCAATACCGTCACGGTGCACGCTTGAAGATAAGCATGTTTATAACAGGGCTAAGCGATGACGGTTGATAGGGCTGGGGAGAGCCAGTGAGTTTGGGGCAAAGCTCAAGTGGCCGTTCGCTACGTCTGAAAGAGCTTAACTGTCTTGTTCCCTTCTTCTGGTAACTGTCTTCTTTTGGATGGAATCCCCAATGCCACAAAGTATTTAATAACATGCTTAAAGCTTAATCTGGAAGTGGAAAGTATTCACGAGAGCCAGTCACCGTTACAAGTATTTTTTTCAAACAGAGTTTTGCAATATTTTCTTGTTGTTTTTCCATTTATCCACCCAGTCTGCTACCAGGACTTTTTGACTGCAGCCAAAAGTGATAAAACACAAAATTCTTAAAACCTTGAGTAGAGCTATTCTGTTCTGTATATCTCTTCAAGAGATCAAAATCAGCTCATTCTCTGTTTGCTTTTTAGAATGTTTTCCCTTTTCAGGGGAAGAAATGCAAGGTCATTTTTGAAGCTGCAGTGCCTTTTTTGCAAAAGTACATGGTATTCCCACTTTATGTCATGCTTTTTAGGTGGAAATCTTGTTTCATCTATGAGCAGTATAAGAAAAAAAACAACCTGAAAAAAGGAAATTGCTGTGAAATTTGTCTAAGTTTTCTAACAGCTTGTCTCTGAACACTGAGCTCATGCAAATGAGTGACACACTGCACAAAATTCCTCCTTCCCCAGCCTCATCAGCACAGTTGAGATTATCACTTTGGGGGAGCTAGTTAACTTTTGAGTTTGGTATTGGCTCATCTATTAGAACCATCTGAGCTGCCTTGAACACTGCATTGATAGTCAGATAGTACCATCAGCAGGGACTGCAGATCAGCTGAGGGCCACCAAGCAGCAGAAAGGCTGGGCCTTTGGGTGGAAACAGGCAGAGGCTGCTGCACTAAGAGGAGTAAAGCAGAGAACTGAGCACCCAGTCGCTGTCGTGCACACAGTATATAACAGCCTACTCCTGTACCAGCCAAGAGGGTTACCTTTAGAGACCAGAAAACGTCTTTTGAAATGTGAAAGCTGTTAAATGGATTCAGCCCCCTGAATTAATACAATGTGTGCGATGTCTGGCAACACAGCAGAAACTTTTGGAAAAAAAGCAGTTCAAATGTAAATTCACTTAACATTGTTGTGGCGCCCAGAAGTTACAGGAAGACTCAGATCCTATTCTTGCTCATTCTCATCAATTTATAAATCTTTGACGGCATGGCAAAAGCACGCAAAAAGACATGAGTCTTCAGAAGACGTAGAAAGATCCATAGATGGAGAAAAAGAGATTCCGGGAATCTTAGAAAAGGCTGTTTTAAATAGAAAACGTTGCTTTGTCCTCAGTAAGTGCTGAAGCAGGCACAGTCTGATTTGGAAGCTGGGAGGGAGCAGTGACTGTCCTGTTGTGGCTCTGGATGGCCGCAAGAGGGGAAGCTCTGCCGCACAACCTGCCTGCTCAGCCTTTCCCTTTGGCAGGAGGTCACAATTTCCTTCTCTGTTTAACTACAGAGCATGACAATGTTACAACTAACGATGTGGAACCCACTCCCAGTCCAATCTGGGAAAATAATTCCCCTTTTTATCAAGTCAGGCTCAGCATGACTCCAGCATGTCCCCACCTGCCCCCCAACGAGTTTGTGTCTACACCTTGGAGGGTTGGGGGGGCAGAAAGAGTGATGCCCTTGAGGATGGACTGAGGACCAGCCCTTTGCTTTCTTTCCCTTTGCTTTCCCTATGGCTTAGTGGATCAGTGCTGGATACATAAGTGTTTGAGGAAGGGACAGCGAGGGCTATACAAGCGGTTCCCCCTTCATTTGTGATGTTCTGCGGCTGCTCCAAAGTGACCCATGTGGTGCTCCCTACATATGTGCTACTCTGTCAACTCCTGTTTCTTCACGTTGTCTGGAAGGAGCTAGGAAAGAGGCAGTGTGAAATGGGCTGCTGATGCTGGAATGATGCTTCTGTGCCCTTGCCTGAGAGACGTGAGGAAAGGAGACTGCTCAGAGGAGACCATGGACTATACAGATAGTCCTGGGTGGGGTGTGCAGACCCCCCAAAGACACAGGCTGAGTGAGCACGAGAGTGCTAGCAATTAAAGTTGGACTCAAGTGCACCATAACACACTCTCCTGGTAGTTACTTTGCATTTGCAAACTTAAATAACGAAATTTCTTATTTATTTTCCTTGACATGGACTGATAGAGAACAGAGTTCATTTTCCAGGGTTTCTCTTGGAAAGTATTTTTCTGGCAAGTATATCCAAGGACAAAAGTTGAGGTTATTCTCAGCTGCAGAAAATCTCATTTTCATAATTAATTAAAGTAAAACTTCTGCTGCTGGAAAAAATTTTCAAAAATCCTGAATTAAGATGGGAAAACTTCTTCTTTACATTAAAAAAAAGATCATAATAAAATATTTCTGCATAGAATTTCTTTCACGCTTTCCTCATGCCCTCAGTCATTGAATCATCAGGGAATGTACCATATGGAGGAAAAAAAACAAACCCAAACCCTCCCATTTTCAATCTCATCAAAGGGTTGCTACTATACAGTTTTGAGAACAGCACGTTGCAGGATGCCCCATAGGAAAATCCTGCTAGGGCTCCTCTGACTTGTCCCCTCTGTACTTTCTACCTCCTTGCTTACCTTTCCCTCAGCTGGCCCTGGAGATTTCAGAGATCCAGGCTAATGGGTCACCTGAACTACATGATACTAAGCATGAAACTGTTCCTCTTTATATGTGCAGTGCATCTCCTCTCCTTTATGAATAACAGTTAACTTGAGAATTTTGCTGCCACATAAAAATGGAGATAGTTGATCAACATCAGCCAGTCTGTAAAACAGGTGCAACTCTTGCCTATTCTTTTATAAGACAAGTGAAGCATCTTATTTTTAAACACTTGCATCTTTGGCTGCTCCTACACAGCTGTTCTGCCTCAACAATAAAGTTGTTAGTGGGATGAATAGAGGAATTACAGATGTAGTAACATTTTGATTATTCCTATGATGTCTTTCCCCAATTCTTTCCCCCCTTCTCTCCTTTTTTAACATGTGCAGGAAAGCGGTTGAGCTGCCTAAGAGAAGGTTTGGAGTTCCTCTTGACCGAATTGGAGTGAGCCGTCTCAGCAACACCAAGGGTTAGCAGTTCCTGCAAAGTAAGCCAAAGTACTCCAGGTGTGGGCAGGCTCAGAGAAATCCCCTGTTCTCAGTTGCAAGGAGGTACTCAAGTAATGCCAGTCGGCTTGGAAAGGGTGGCTTGGGAAAGGATGGCTTCTTATAACATGGATTGTGACTGTCCATTTAGCTTGAATGCCCAAAATTAGAACTTGTACCCCCTCTGCAAGAAAACAAGTACTTCTATCGTTTTCCATCTCCTCTAGATCACCTTACAGTGTGTTTGTCCAAGCCTTGTGTTTCTGACATGGGAAAAGGTAATGTTTACTGCTTTTCTGCCTACAGGTGCTTCTGTTCTGAATGATTGATGCTGTATTGGAAACATTTCAGGAATACAGAAGATGCATCACAGCATGTCTTGTCATTGACTAATGATTCAACATGCAAGGAATTGACGTCCTGCAAAATCTGTTTCACGTTGCATTTTACAAATGTTGCATTTACAAGTAATAACAAATTCAATTTATCAGGTCAGAATGCTCTCACAGTTGTGCACAGTGCCACTGATAGGAGGGAACAGAAAATATGTATATAGTTTAATTGCATGGCATTTATTTCTTAAACCTGCAGAAGTTCATAATCCTAGCAAGGACTGTTAGATTTTTTTGGATTGAAAATAAAACTTCCAGAGATGCCAACAGCAGTCCATGAAAAGCAGACAGTTTGCTTTGCACGTTTCTTTCAAGAAGGTTTTTGTTTGGTAGCTGAAGGGAGGATTTAACAGCTACAGGACAAACCTAGAATGTATTTGAACTGCTGTTTGGGAGAAGATGTCTACTGACTTCACTAGGAGTTAGTCTGAATAAGAACTATGACAATACCTTAATATTTGTCCTGAAGTTTTTAGCAGTCTTTCTCTTATCTCTTCACCATATTTAGACATGTTTTCATCATATGGCAGATCCTGGAATGTGGTAAGACTTCTAGTTTCCTCCTCTAAACTGACGAATACATTTCACTCCTCCCTATGCATAACATAGGATAGCATCCAAATATGAAGTCATCTGCTTCCTAAGCCATCTGCATCATATGCCTTATTTTAGACTCTTGATGAGTGCATGGGGCATAACCAGACATCCAACTCTTAAAGTTCAAGAATTTCTCACTCTGGTAAAATGTAAACGTGTCCTCTCTACTTAATTTCAGAGTAAAACAGGTTATCTTAAATCCTGTTTCATGCTTTTCACTTCTTTCCAGATAATAAAATATAGCTGAAAAGAGCTGTTTGCTGACATCTCAATGCTCAGATTCCTAGCTGACGTTTTCTAAATGTCACGTGTTCCATCTTGGACTCTGATCCATGTCAGCTAAATTCCTTGGATTGCTATTCTTGGGTATAAATCAACCTGAGAATTACCAAAGAAGATACATTGAGAAAGGGATTATGCAGGACTAAAAAAAAAGAAAGAAAAAAGATTCTTGCCAAGCACCCTCTGTTGGGCAGAGGGTAATGTTGGAGAGAGGAAATAAGAGTTAATTTCCCGATCTTATGTGAAGCACAAAGCACCTGGCCATCAGCTAGCAAAATGAAGAAAAATACAGTCAGCTTTTCAGTCAGCTGCAGGAAAAGAGAAGTCAATGAGTCTTTGAAATTACAGCTGCTCTGAGGATTATGACTTTGGAACAATTGCCCCAGGTCAGGCCATGGTGGGAGATGAGGCTCCCACTCAGAAGGGCAGGTAGCATCCAATACACGTCTGAATGTATGTGCTCAGCCATAGCAGGGGCCTTTCCCATTTTCCCTCTTGCTTACAGCCCTACCCTGAGACCACGACTGGACCAGCCAGAGAAACTTTGCAAGAAACTTTGCTTTTCTTGACATCTTTGATATAGACTAATGCTTCTGAGAACAGCTGCACAAACCAGTGAATCCCATTAAGAGGTGCCCCCATCTCTCCCATCAAGCAGAGCACACTCTGGTTGAATTAGGTGATAATTTCTACTTCAGTGGGTAAGTTATCAGTGCTTGTGTGTGAGGTGATGAAGCACTGCAGATGCTTTCCAGACAAAGATCTTGAAAGTCATAGAAAGAAAGAAGAGCTGTAAGTCCATGGTCTTCTTTGTTTTTTACTCTCTGCTTTCACCTTGGTCCTACTGCTCATTTTCTGCCTTTACACTTGCAGGTGAAGGCTCTGAGAGCTGGATTGAGTGGGTTTGTGTAGACTGGCTGACCAGAGACAGGATTTTCTGTCCATGCTAGAAGCAAATCTGCAACTGCAGACAAGCCCAGACTCTGTCCTCTGCAGTGCACTGCCACCATCTATCCTGAGCCCGCCCTGTGGTTTAGGGAACAGTTATCTTATTGAGCTGAGCTCATCCAGACAGTCTGAAGATAATCTGCTTGCAAGGCAGCCATATGTATGGGGCAAGGGCAGATTAGGGAAGTGATGTACTCCTGGCCACTCATACAGCTGTCCATCAAAAGCAGCACGGACAGATTCATTGTCTGATGTATTTTGAGAGACTCAGACCAGAAGAATCCAATGCTAACACAGCAGCCTTTCAAAAACACTGCTGGATCATAAAAGTATTGGAACAGTTGGCAGGTATTAGCCTGGGCTTCCAAATGAAGATGGAAGGCTTTAGAGCCTGTAGTTGTGTGCAGAAATGCCCTCCATGTGAAGGGTGATGTGAAATTAAAGCAGGACAGAGGTGTCTGTGGTGGTATTGCTTGAAACTGGGAGCTGGAAACCTCAATCTTGCTCTTGGCTCCCACCTCACTGCATAGATTACTTGGGAGAAAGTAGCATCCTTTCTGCTCCTCTACTCCATCCACCGCAGAGCACACTGAGACCTCCTGTGGCTCAAAAAGCTCTCTTTAAAATCCATAAATTGGCAGGTGCTCCTTAAAAGATGATGATGTCTGAAAGGCTGAAACCCACAATTTATTTTCATAGATGATATTGGATAGCTTCAGTCAGCATGCATAGCATGAAAGTCAACAAATGTGAAATGAGGATATACTACAGCATCCGTTGCATGCTAGCTTTGCCCTGTGCTGCCTATTTGCAAATCTATTTGGATGCCCATGAGGATTTTCTACTAATAAATCAACATGGTCTACTAGAATGTGTAAGGGAAATCCCTTTAATTATTGCCCGTGGGTCATTAACTTTTGCAAGAGTGACTGCCCAAGCAGGTAAGGTGTGAGCAGCCATGATCTGGAGGTGGCACTTGAGGAAGAGAAGAGTTTCTGTTCCATGTGTTTAAAAGAAAGAACAGGACATCCACAGAGACATGCTGAGACTGAGCCTAGGGAGAGCATCACCGCCTTTCCTCTGAATTAAGAAATGAATTGCATTCAACACTTATCTGTGACCCCAGCAGAAGCAGCAGACTCAGCAGCATATAGTGCCTGTGAGGAAATATTGGGGTAGTTTGGGTACCATAAGCACTTAAATAACTGCTGATAGGATATAGAACACCATGTGGGCTAAAAAACACTGCTAAGCAGCATGGTGCATTGCGCTCCAGGGAATTCCTGTGTTTAGGATCAGAGCAAGCTGTTAAATAGCCACAGACCCTGCATCCCTTTTCCTGACTCACTGATGAGTTGTCACTTCGGGTCGGGAAGGCATGGCTACAGCTAGCAGGTGACAGATGGAGCCTGCTGCTCCAGCCTTTCATTGCGCTGGGATTTCCTGCAAGCTGAAAGAATCTGAGCTGAACACCAGCTTGCGGCACTCAGCATAGGTCTTGTAATACACCTCCCTTTCATATGGAGCACCAACATCTTAAAGAAAGAGGGACCCTTCTTTTGGCAGCAGGCTATAATTTCTCCTGGATTTGGTGCTGTTGAGAGAGTATGTGAAGGTATGCTCCCACGTACCTTGTCACTTGCAAAAGCAAGTGCATTTTTGTGCATTTGCACAAAAGCAAAGGAAAAAGGGGAATGTGCTCTGAATCACTACCACAGAAATAACAAAGAATTAATGTTAACAGCAAACTGTATTTTGCATGTCATTAGACCTCACTGATATAATTAAATTGGGTTTATTCCATAGATGCCAGGTTTGGCCTGTAATAGGACAAAGAGATCTCCTGTTAATGAAGTATATACAAGTGGTGAGTGTGCACATCTTGCCGGAACCCAAGGCAATGAGTGTAACATGGTATTTACAGCTTTGGGAGAGGTCAAGTTTTGAAGAATATGTAGTATGCAAGCTACAGTTACATAGCATGGCTCAACAGAGCTGGAGAGATGGTTCAAATCTAGTCAAAATCAGACCACACATTCACAGTGGCTACTAGATTCTGCTCTCATTTACACCACTGTAAGCCTCAAAGTTAACATCAATGGGCTTGAGATTTATTCTGAATTTACACCTTTGGGAACATGGTCTGTTGTTTTTGCAAATAAATGTAGGCAACATGACTGAAGATGAATATATGTAGGAACCACTGATGGATTGTGATCTCTTCCTTTTGGCCACATGCAGACATAATTCTGCAGCAGAAAAAGCCAGCTAGCATCTGCACTGAGCAGCCAGACAAACCAAAAAACTCTTCTCAAAATATCTGTTTGGGCGAGTTAGGTAGAAATCGGTGGGTCTGTTCCAGTCCTGCGAGAACGGCAGCCCACACACATCCATGAGGAAGGCCAAACCCTTATTCCTAGTTCTGGTCAAAAGGAAGGGCCCCTTCCTCAGACATGTTAAAACAGGCCTGTGTTGTTATAGTTAGGTGTTTAATAGGAACCTTTTTTTCCATTGTAAAGTTCCCATTAACCATTAGGTAAAAGAGCCTACATCAAGGGAAATACGCTGCCCCTTGGGCCTCTGCAAGAGGTGAGAAAGAAAACAGCACATGCTTCTGTGCAACAGAAAATCTTTATTGGAATGATATCCAAAGGATCCAGACTTCCGCGCCCGTCCTCCCCCAAGCCTACTGTGTACGCTGACGGGACAGGAGGAGGAGCAGCTCTGGCTCAGCAAGCCAAGGCAGGCAGCCCTTCGCCCTTGGCATTACACCCAGCCTGCCTTCCTGCCCCAACAGCGGGCGTTAGGTCATCACAGACCTGCTCCTGGGAGGCGACAGGAAACCCAGACACCACCGTGAGCAACGTCTGCAGATGTGGGCAGAGACCCAAGCTCAAGGGAACACTGAATTAATGCTTGGTGCCTTGGGGGAGCCTGGTGAGAAGGGGGAGAATGTACACTGGCAGCAGACTGAATGGCACGCACAGGGTAGCAAGGAGAGTTGGGAGGCACCTTCCAAGTAGAAGGAGGTTAAACCTGGAAGGAAGGAACAGTGGAGTGTGCTAGTGGGCTACCAGCTCCTGTCATGGTCCCTGCTACACTTGGCTGTGGTGTGGTCATGGAGGATGGCATCTGAGTTAGCAGCACGATGAGAGAACAGGACAAACTCTTAACACATTAATACCCAGCAAGGCAGTTTGGGGAAGGGCTCATCTTCATCCTCCAGTCCTGGCAAGCCTTCATATGCAGTATTTCCAAAAGCAGGCTGGGAAGGGATACAAGAGAAGAATGTTAGCATTCAAAGGACTTTTTCCAGCTTCCCGCTCTAGCCCTGGAGCGGGCTTCAAAAGCCCATGTCCTGAGAGAGTTGGGGTATGAAGCCAGCATATGGCTTCTGGACAGATCTCAATAACCATCTTTGACTTCATATAAAACTTTTAGAAGGTATTTCTTTTAGCTTTTATAATGTGAAGAAGGGGTCTAAAAGTTGTTTCCATGTTGCTTGATTTACAAGGATTTACTTTTCCCTTTGCTTTACTTCAGCAGTATCAGGAATCAACTTTTTCTTTCCTGTCTACTGCCCAGCAGTTTTGCTGCCTCAGAGATGTGGGCAGGGTTTTTCACCCGTGGCTGACTGGAAGAGCAGGATACTGACTTGGAGAGAAAGGATCTGCTGCTTATATTTTTTTTTAAAACCCAGTCGCTCTATCGCTCTGCTGGTAACTGTCCTCCAAACAACACTGATCCCTGTGGGATCTTCTAAGAATAGTTAAGGGAAGGATGCGTGTTTTGGTATTGGAAAAAATAGCTGTACCACCAGCATGCCAGGTTCTTTGAGTCCTATGTGGGTCTGCTATTGTTAAATGTGAGAAGAAATTTCTACTTGTTTTTTGAAAGCTTCTACTGAATGAGCAGTGCTCGTGCCGAGACACAAACTCCTCCCAGACTGAAAGGACTTTAGATGAAGGCAAAGATTCTCTGCTTTAATTTCTGGCAGAATCTGATTTAAACCTGGCAGAAGGAAGTCGTTTTATCTGCATTTGAACCTTCCAGACTGGTGGGGGCATGAATTAGATTAGCCAAATTAATGACAGCCTCCAGGGCTGCTTATAAATTGCAGATTGTCTAAGGATCACCTAAGCACTTAAGCAAGCCTTGCACAAAGGGATTTTCTCTCGGCTGTCTGGCAGGTTGTCAGCTTGCACACGCACAGAGTGTGTGGAGCAAGGGCAGAACCAGCTCTTTTGCTTTTAGGCAAGATATGTCATCAGTGACTTCTGGTTTACAGCTGCCTCTGCTTTGTGGAGGAATCCACTGAAAACCAGTGTGAACAGCATTGTCCATGTCCTCTTCAGGGGCAGCCTTGCAGGAGCACCAGTGCGATGTGCTCCTGAGTCAGTGGATACAGACTGGACAGAGCTTGGATTCCAACTGGGGGGCCTAGCAGATCTTAGCTTCCTGAATTCTTGGTTGATTTCCACATCCTTTTTAGCTGCTTTTCAGCAGCACAAACAAGTGCTCCTTTTTTCTCTGTAGGGAGGCAGTGACCTTGGCAGAGGGGAATGCATGCAGTCCACATGCCTCATTATGCCTTAAGGACTAGCTTTGTGCCCATAGCAAAGAGAGGAGTGCACTGCGGGGACGTGTTCATACAGAACTCACCTCCTCCAGGACAGTCACTCATTGCCATATAACCCCATGTTCCTCTGTGAAAAGGGGGATGCAACACTGACTGCCTCCAGTGAGGTCCTTGGTGTGCAGACCCAGTGTATCTGCCCTGACAGCAGACAGGGTTGGGTACACAGTCCTTCCCACCAGCTGTTAAACCAGCCAGCCATTAATAAGAGAGGGCCAGGACAACTAGAAAAGATGCCAACCTGTTTTTCAGCATATTTGGGGCATGTTTACTCTCACTGTCTTTGTTGCACAAAGGAAGCCCTGGAGATGAGAGCTGGACAGGATGGCTGCAGGGCTCTAACCCAAAACCTACCGCGTTTTTTGGGCTGGGATGCGGAGAGACTTTCCAAGGCATAGGCCACCTCTGACCCTTCCTCAGCTGAGAGCTGATCCTTCAACTTCTCCAGCTGTTTAAAAGCAAACACAGCAGTAAACAAATGCCCCATCATGAGAAGCTTTGCAGGGTGCTGGCAAGCACAGGGTGGCTCAGAGGCAGGAGGTACAGGCAGCCTGGCTGGCAGCAGCACTGGGAAGGATGGCGTTTTCCCTGGAGCTGGATCATTCCAGGAGGATCTGCCTTTGGAACACTCATACCTCCTCAGGTCCTCCTCCACTAAGCTGCTTGTTTCGTGGCAGTGATATAGGCACCCGCTGCTCTTTCCCCCCAACCCAGGGCACAAACCCCTGGGGAGAAAGGTCTGTGTAGCACCACTAAGAGTCAAGTCAGTGCTGGGGCAGGTTGTCTCCAGGTGTCCACCCACTGCAGCAGACAGCGTTTCTTCTCTACTGCGCTGGGCGGTCTCTCCCCTCCCTTGCCCCCAGCTCTTGCTAACTTCCCTGGGTTACAATGTGGAAAGTCCACAGTATTTCTTCTCCACTTGTAGCTACTCTTTTCTAGTAGACTGGGAACATCTATGGCTATCATCTAGACTTCTGCTCTGGTAGTGTTGCCACTGAGAACCCAGAGCTTACTGTCCCTCAGCACTGGAGCAAAGGGCTAGAGTAGGAGCTGGTAGCCCTCCGTCTGGCATGCCACAATGTGGGTTTTCAGTTTGAAGTGAAAAGTGCCAACTGGAACCCAGCAGGACCTCCACAATCCATGCAAACAGCTGGACCTGGCCTGAGAAAGGATAAAAAGGGTTTCCACTGCCTGCAGGGTTTGGGGCACAGAGGGAGCCGTGTCAAGGTTGCTGCACAC